TTTATACCAAATGAGGTACAACAAGGCTGCTTCAGAGCCATCCTCTCCAAAGCAGTAAAATGAAGGAGAACATTGGAAAAACAAGATTATACTAGTCAGAGAGTGCATCAAAGAATACAGCACACTAACTCAAATGAGAAAGTTGTTTCCTTTCGGAAAAGAGCCTCATTACATCTCATCCTGACTAATCTCTTTTTAAATACCTATGCTACATCTACAGGAAGCTGCAAAGGTATGAAAAGAAACTGCTCAATAGATAATGGCAAAAATAAGTTGTATCCCAGTGGCATAACCAGAACACCAGTTGGTTTAGAATCAGACTAAGCCAAAGTGCTTATTTCATCAGTGGAAGTGTGTTCTCTCTGCTTTAATTTCCACTGCTTCAAATCCTTCCCAGCATTAAACCTGCTATCACACTGACTCAAGGTCCTCTACTTCTGCACAGATATTTCTTAAGTACAAGTCCTTCTGTCATGAACTGTCTTCACACTGCAAGTTGCCAATTTTGTTTACAGATTATCTTTCAATGCAAAGCACACATCCAATGTGGTCAGGAATGCAAATGACAGATTGACTGAGAAATCTGTTTCAAAACCAACCATGTACACACAAGAAAAAGCATCTGAAGAGGCACATGAGTAGGTTAGGTTTCTTTTAAAGATGTATCCATGCTAATCTGAGGAAGCTGAACAGAGAAGAAGGAAAAGCTAGCAGCTGTATTATGGTAAGAGTCTCCTGTTGAAATGATAGTTTCAAGTCTACGGTTCCCTACTTATTCTTCATCAATTTTGCTTTAAGCTTACCTTCTGTTTCTACACCAACCAAAACCAAACATTAATCCCTTATTGTGCATCCCAAGAACTGTAAAATCAAGACTTGCAAATCACCAAGACCAGATGGTAGTTCATCCAGGAATACTAAAGGAATTCCAAGGATGAAATAGCTGAATAGTTGTGGTGAGTCACCTCTTGCTTCAAACTGCATTGGTCCATGTGGACCAGAAGACAGGAAATGTGAAAACATTTTCTTTTAATAGCCTCAGAAGAGATGTGAAGAACTGCAGGCTGGGAAGCCCCATATTTTTGGTGCATCAGGAAAATTCAAAGAATCAGAGGACACACAGGTAAATATGTTATGCTCAGAAAGAATTCAGAGAGCTTTTGTAACTGGAAAACCTGCTTCACAAAACCAGACTCCTCCACTGTGGAGTCCAGGTCTTCCCTTGGGGATCTGTGTCAGAATCAAACTTTGTTTCAACATATTTATAAACAGTCTGGAAAACTGTAGTTGAGAAATAGCATCATGACTATAAAAACGTTGGTAGTACAGATTTTGGAGGGTTGAAAAGACCAAACCAACTGAAAAATAGCAGTAAATTAGGTTCTGCCTCTTCCTCGTGACAGGAGGAGGAAGGGGTTACAGGTATGGGGCGGGGCAGAGGAAAACCAAAATTAATCCTGGGCATAACAAAATCAAAGACAAGGGGACAGCATGTCAAAGGATGAAAATGAATAACAAGGAAATAGAAGAGGAGATATCTATGGCTAAAGAAACTTGTGGTCTGATTCAGGCTGGCTACTCTTATCTTCCTTCCTTCCTGTGTCTAAATGTACCTATACGTTGTTTCTCAGACCCAGGTTACTGCCAAAAAAAATGAAATTAAAATATGAACTTAGCTGAATACCGTAAGTCTGACAATTGTACTTCAGAAGGCAGCATAAAATTAAGTGTTACTATGTTTTATCAGGGGGAAGAATGTTCTTCCTTTAATTTGATTTTACACAATAAGAAGCATGAGCAAATCACAGAACTTCATTTTTGCTTCTAGAACAGCACCTGCTGTTCTTAATTTATGTGTCTTAAAACAGCTAAGAACAAACATGCAACAACAAGCTCAAAGCTTTCCTTCTGGAAAAGCATAAATGTGTTTGGTTTAGCAAGCACACAATTAAAATGTAGAATACACTGCAGCTCATTATAAATCCACTCTGTCAGCCACAAAACATTTCTCTCTCCAGTTTTCACAACGTAGTCCTTACACTCCCCCACGTGGCTGACGACTAAATAACATTTCTTTACCCAAACTCCAGAGACTCGAAAGGAACAACAAAAAGACAAAGCAGCCTCCAAAACACGGCCAGAGCCACAGAAAACTGAACTTCAAGCTGAAGCCACCGGGGAGGACAGAACAGAGAACCGCTCAGTTTTACAAACCACAGAGCAGGAGTCACAGGGCCTTGACTTTATTCCCACAGGACAGTATTTCCCTTCATCCCTCTCAGCTAGTTACTTTGTATCTTTCCAGAAGGATGATGGTGTTCCTCCACAAACAGTATTAAGAAATCGCTCCACTGTCCAGAGGAACTATGTTACCAAATGCAACATCTTTCAGTAAAATGCATTTTATACAACCTCAGGCCATTGAATATCTCAGTGGCATTTAACTGATCAGTCATATTTTGTTGATGCATATTTACCCATTTCAAAAACTAAAATGTATTATCCTCTCCCACATCATGTTCATTAGTGCACAGTCTTTCATTTAAGAACAGAAAGTTGTAGTTGTGAGAATTAATCCCATAATTTAAATGCACATAACCCATAAAGTATTGTGAGATCCTGCAAGAAATGCAACACCTCCTTGTGAATTTAGTGCTTGTCAGAGGGGTAGATAGGGAGGCGGTGGCAACACTATTTAATCAAAGACTAGCTGCAGAGGAAGAAGCAACACAAGTTTTCCATTTTCTCCACCCCTTGGCAGGCACAGCCAGTACCAGAGGCAAGAATTCCCTTCACCCCTTCTCATTTCCACCTCTGACCGGAAGACTAACAACAGGTAGGGTGAAATGTGATAGTTACTGTGTCATAGGTCCTTAGCCACTGAAATCTTACAAATATGCTACCACGTCATCTTTGCAGACCCTAAACAGCCAAAACCTCCTCATGCGTCTTCCGGGTTTTCAATTATAATAACATAACTTAGTTGTAAGTGACCAAAGTAGAAGAGACTTCACATCCTGTAACTAAACTTGTCAAAATACCACTAAGATAGCAAAACCATTCACACACATTTAATGTAGCACTAACAGGACAGAAATCAGCACTACACATCCACATTTTATTGACAGGAAACAAAAGCACATTTATTTTAAACAACGAGTGTGTTATTCACACAGGAAAAAGCTAAATATTTCCTTTCTGAAGCCCATTTTATAATTTATATACAACTGTTTGACCCTTCAGCCTAGAGGAATCAACATAACTACATATATATTTCAAAACACTCAGCTTTCCTTCAGCCAAAAACTAACCCAAAGAAACAGCAACACACCTGTAGAAATCACTCTCTGGGTCACTGTGCCTCAGCTGAAATGGCATTTTGGGCGTTTTGCTATCCAGAGGAAGCAGGTCATCCGGGAGAGGTGGAGAGGCTGGACAAGATGGCAGAGGTTCATTCTCCTCAGTTTTTATGCCCTCTGCCTGCTGCTGGTTCTGAGCCTGAGCTGTGGCGATGAGGCTGCGCAGCCGCCGGTTGTGTTGGATGAGCTGGATGGTGTGGATAGTGAGGCTGCAGGGCTCAGAGGGGATGTCCAGCATGGTGGTGGGCCGGGGCTTGTTCGCAGATGGTTGGTGCAGTGGAGGGTCCTGGACTTCCACGGTACGGAACTCGCGCTGCAGCAGGTCAAAGGAGCTGCGGTTGGCCTGGTTGGAGGAAACCGGGATCTCACCCCAGTATCGCAGCATTTCTGCAAAAGTCACGCGTTGTCCTCAGAGCCCAGGAGAAGGCTACCTGATACTGTGGTACAAGGGCGCCTTGTCGCAGGGAAAAGCACTTTGGGCAGCAACAAGAACTGGAGCTGGGATGACACTCCTAAACAGATTACGGCTGTCAGGCAGGCTGTCGCTCAGTGCCTCGCTGAGCAGCGCGGTGTCCTCAGCAGCATCAGGTCGCCACTCCGGCATTTAACAGATCCCTTCTCCTGAGGGGGAACAAACAAACGCACCCGTGAGGCGGGAATCATTTCTGTCTTTAACAGAGGCTGGTGTGGGTCCACCTGGGCCTCGCCGAGCGGGACCCGCGGCGAGCCTTGGTTTGCGTGGAGAAACTTTGGGGGCCGCACTCGGCTCGCCCGCCCGCCCGCCCGCTCGCCCTCCCTCCCCGGGCCCAGCTCCGAGCCTATGGCTCCCCAGCACCCCCAGCCCGTGTCTCGCCGGTCCCCCGCGCTCCCTCCGCACCCCTCAGCTCCGCTCCGCTCCCGGCCGCCCTGCCGGAACTGCGTCCCGGTCCGGCACCGGGAGCGGCTCCCCCGTCCCCAGCGCTCCTCCGCGCCGGGCGGAGGGCAGCGCCCGCCGCCGTCTCCGCCTCGCCCGCTGCCGCCGCTTCCCTTGGTTCGCCCCCCACGCTGTCCCGGCCCGCGCTGAGGCCGCGGCGCGACCCCCAGAGCTGCGCCTACCCCCGGCACTGCAGCGCCGCGGAGCTCGTCCCCGGAGGACTCCATTCGGGTGCGGACCCGGGAACATGGCGGCGGCGGAGTCGGCGGCGGAGTCGGCGGCGGAGTCGGCGGCGGAGTCGGCGGCGGAGTCGGCGGCGGAG